CTCGCCCCCGAATAATTTTTATAGGTAATGTTGTTGTATGCCTTGATTGGGCAATGTTGTTGTACACTTTGATTGGGAATTAAAATGATTAAAGAATTGTTAAAAAAAAATTAAAGGTGGCAAAGCCATAGAGAATTAATTGTAGGGGCCACTTTAAGTGCGGGCTACAAGTTTCCATGCTGCTAATTGAGGGTTGGGCTACAGAAAATGCAGACGCTATTGATATGATTTTCATTCTTCTTAAAGTGCAGTTTAAGCACAAAATTGCATTAACAAGCATGGTCTATAGGTCCATGAGCATTTATGTAAAAAAATTAAACACTCATACACTATCGTTTGGGATTTAATTCGGGTAACTTGTCGATCTCTTGGCTTCTGGTGTTTTGTTTCCAAGTACGATTCTTCGCACTTACTGAAATGCAATTTTCGTTTATCTGGTATTGCGAGAGCCTTTTTTGTGACACTAAATAAGTTCCTCCCTCAGTTATCTTGTCCCCCTTTTTTCTTCTCATTTGTTTTGCAGCGCATTGAAACCAAAATACATGGCATTTAACTTTTCGTTTAAACGAGATTTGCTTGCCGCCATTTTGTTTTTTTCGCTTGACCAGGAATCCTGGTCATGCAATTTTTTGTAAAAAAGACCAGGAATTGAAATTGACCAGAATCATGGTTGATTGAAGTTTCTTTGACCCATATGGGATCAAAAGACTTTGACCAGGATTTTTTAACCATGATGTTTTTAGAGTGTATGAAATTGGGCAGTGTCACGTGTCTGTTCTGGCTGCCTCTACTCGAAAATCGGGGCAGTCAGAACAGTTCAAAAAAGTCATGTGACTGTGTTCTGTTCCATTCCATTAGTGATCTGAAAATCTGGAGTACTCCGAAGAGTAAATGGAGCAGCTTGCTGGTCTTACCGCTTACGTTAAGAGTGTTGTTTCGTAGAAAATATCCCGTTTATTGTGCATCGGAAGAACTGGAGAATACAATCTGTGGGATATATCTGCACGCATTCGCTCAAAGGGTCGCTCACAAATGGCATTTCGTCGAAGAAACAACGGCACCACACCAGTACAGTCCATTGTATCTTCATATTCGAGCTCTGGGAAGATAACACGCAAAGTTCTAGGGCTCTTGATCTCGTCACTTAAATTTTGAGGCAAGCAATAGTGCCACAGTTCACACGAGTCAGATTCTAGAAGTGATCTGATGCACGGGCTAAACACTCGAATTAACTTATCTGCTGGTATCGAACATCTTTCGAGTAGGCGTAGTTCGACTGACGATGTAGGAATGTTCTGCTAAAAAACTATTAAGTTAATAAATGCACTTGTATCATCCAGGTCCTCATAATTATATATATTCTGTAAAATAAACTATGAATGGGAAAAGCACAGAACAATAAGGTATTTTTTATCAATACGTTTTACACTGTTATTGTTAATAAACTACCTGCAAAATGTCTATCATTGTAGTATATAAACATTGTTAATGAATAAATAAAGTTCATATAAATGAAGTTCCATAAACCATTGTATTTCACGTTGAAAATACATGTGCTATACGATGGAAAACAGCCGTATAAGTTTCGAATAATTTTGATGAAATTTTACACAACAATATATGTGTAAGTAGGATACATGACTACCTGCAAACGTCCAAGCCATTATGGGTCAAAGGCCGCATGCAGGGAATTTTATTGAAACATCTGCACAGGTGGTCATAAAAGGTCTAAGTTTTAAATTGCCAAAAGTTTACGGGTTGTTGTTCAAAGTATATGTACTGTATCAATAGATATTGATGTCTGTGTTAACAAATAAAATCCAACAATTGAAATAAATACTTGAAAATGACCAAAACTATCAAAATAGCAAACGTCTATTTTAGAATCCGCAAAGTACTTTCTCAAATACTACACTACTTGCACCAATATACTACACTACTTGTATCATTGTCATTGAGATATAAAATCAGATTTTTCAAATATTGTATTCTGTTGTCTTTCATTGATGCGTGAATGGACTGTTTGTATATGACATGTATGGCCTCCACTAGCCTGGAAAAGGCTTAAACATTATATTTACAAAGTCTATATAATATGACTTGGCAAAGCTTTTTATATGTGGAATAATATTAAAGAGTCATTGTCAACCACAATGCTTTGGTTACATCTTACCTTCGCAAGTGACAAATAGCAAGAAATGACGATTATTTGGTGTAATTTTGGTATAAAAAAAGTTAAAATGAGCAAGTATAACAATAGGATGGCAGTAATATATCATGGATTGAAAACTGAAAGATCTATTACTACTTTATTAAAATGGCCACCAAGCGGGTTTGGGCCCACGATGCATTGTGGTTGAGAATGACCCGACTATCGAGAAAATTTTCAAATATATATATTATTCAAACCTGACTGTCATGAAAATGAAAACAATTAGGCTCTAGGCAAGGAATCAACAATGCACACCAAATATATAGAAAAATGAGTTCGACAGCATACAAATTGTAAGAAATTTTAAATAAAGTTCGCTGTCATGGGCCTCATTAAGATGTAGTTTTAATTATAAAACTCTCAGTATGATACCTTGTAATGTTTATTCAACTAGTTGGTACAATGAAGTTTGGAACAATAGAAAAAATGTTTCAAAAATACGTAAAAGCAAGACCCTTGTGTTGGTGGCCATTGATCTCATGGCGACAGCATGATCACATCATCACATTGAATAAACTTATAATTAATCTGCAGTAGGAATCTCAGTATCTTAGTAAGATTGCTAAAGGAAAGGTGGGATTTTTTTAACTAAATTAATGATCACAATTTCAGGTATAAATCATTTAGTAACTTAGTACCAAATAACTATAATAGCACTACATATTCAGCGCTATCAAGAAAAAGGACTATTATGAAATAGAAATTATAAAGTAACTGAGTATTTTCGTTTCATATAGTATGATACGAATTGTTAGTCTGACGGTGGCATTTGCGTGTTTCATATTGCAAAGGTATGTAAATTTCTGGTGCTGAATCTTTGTTCATGTATCAGATTGGCTTCAAGACAATTGACATTCCAGGATGACTCAACTATCAGATCAATCGAAACCCATTCTCCTCATTGAAGCAAAATTAAATTCTGATTTAGAAAAAAAACTGTTGCCTCAAAAATTTCCCTGAATATACATTCTGCTCTCACTAGTTTGAGCATGTTAGTTAAGGATAAGTTTAAATTGTATCGGATAGCTTGAGTGGCGACGCAAAAACCATACCGGATAGGGCTTGTGTTTACATAGCCTATATGAAACGATGTAATCGTACCAATTTCTGCATCGAAGCTAGTGATGGTGCGCCCCTCCGCTCGAGCTCTTCCAAGTAATACGTGTTAGGCCGGATTGTTTTTTTTTTGCAACGGTACCACTGTAATGTTAGCAGCAATTGTAGCAATTTTGGATTCAATTCGTGATTCAAGATGGCGTCTAGAAAATAAACACCGGCCGTGACATTCTAACCTTTTTTACGGACATAGCTTGCTTACCCTTTCAAATGACGTCTACAATTTTCTTGTAATATAGATATACAGGGTGTATCAAAATAAACGCAATTCAACTTTTGTGCTTAATAACTTTCGAAATACTATTTCTAGTTAAACGCTTTTAGGCTTACTTCAAAGCCTGTTCTTTTCTTTTTCAAACAAACTATCATTCTCGTCTCCAATGCTAGTAATAATTGCACAGGAAAAGATTTAGTAAAACCTATCATTTTTAGTTGCTGTTTAATTATGCAAGTTTACTATGTTATTGTTTAGTCGGTTTAAATGTTAGAATTTTCTTCTTTAAACTTTAATGTTGTCGTCAATACATCTGGGAAAACCACGTAAGAACAAATTAAAGGGATTTTAAAAGAGACCAGGTTGTTTGAAAATCCTAAACGAATGCTAAAAATCGTCAAAACATTCTGGTGTCTGAGCCAGAGTGTCATCGAATTGCGATGTAATGTAAACAGAAATTATAGCAAGTTGATGTCAGTCAGCTTAGATGGTCCAAGCCAAAATTATATCGCATTTGAAGTTTCAAACTGAGTTAAAAATAGCGGAAGAAAAGCCGTAATTATACTTATTGTTACAATCCATTTAATAAAATGCAACATTTTTTTGTTTTAATGAAAAAATCAGTTATTTTCATGAGAACGATTTGTTATTCCATCTCAATTTTTTCAATCTCCAATCGCAATAACGTAAAGTATTATTACCCGCGAACCAATCAGTCAAATTTAAGAAACAACCCGCTGTTAGAAAGCTGAATGGCTACGCTTGAAAATGAATGTAAACTTTAACGTTTTCGTCCATTATTTGTTTAGCAATTTACATTTCAGTCGAGGATTGCGCTGTTTTTGATACACCCTGTATATAAGAAAAGACAAAGGCAATACAAGGGCGGGGGAGGAAGCTATTTACGCTTGGGCCATTACATTTCGCGAACGAAGCAAAACCGACCAACAATGTACGTAAACATAGCTGAAAAAGTAATCTTGACTTCTTGAATTGAGTTGAGCAGTCTCTCGTAACTGTAAAAAAGTTACAATTCAGGACGAGAGGGGCAGTACTTGAATTGTCTGTGATTATTTTCAGCGGCACTTTTTCGGTTGAGTTTTACTTGCATGGTATGCTTTACCGATGTCAGTCCATCATGTCATAGCCTATCGAAGGGAAGATGACAGTGAAACTCATTAGAATAACAATATAACACATTATCTATCTTAGTCAACGTTTATTCTTAAATCTGGTCATTCACTGTCGCGTGTGTATTGTATTTTTTCCCAACTAACCAATAGCAATGTTTTCGGCAAGTTATCTGTCCGTGACTCGAACAATATAGGAACTTGGAAATTATTGCTATCGCGTGGCTTGCGAAAAAAATTAAACAGTGCGAATGTGTAGATAATATATCTTTAGTTATAATAAATCTACTGTTTTGTTGTTTGTGCTAGTTATCCGTCGTTAGCATCAATGACCGTTCCATTTATAAGTGGTATGCAGCTTGGAAGTGCTTTCGACTATTCCAAATTTAAAGTTGGAAATAACCTGGTTGTGGATAACGTTCGAAACGAATCAATTCAGAGACGTAATGACATGTCTTATATGAAGTTTAAAATGATAAAAAGTCAAAAAGATATCAGCGATGTGTTGGATGTCTCGGGAGAATTATCTGTCAAGGTCATGGCTGGACTCGTTGATGTTCAAGGAAAAGGATCGTACCTGAAAAGTTCAGTGACGAGTGGAAACACTGTGGAAGTTTTGGCGCAAATTTATTATCGCACGGTAAGATTTCAAAATTTGTCCGATAAATTTATATTATTGTCTGAAAGTGTGTTTTTTTTCGAACCATAAATTATAGAGACTATAAAAATAGTGTGTCTGGCGGGAAACATCAAAGCAAATAATAGCCCCACTCGAGGGAAGCGAAAAACAAATTTCGAACTTTATTATATTCATTTTGAAATCAATGGTGTTTCCTGCAATCTGATTAATGGTTCACAAGAGTGCGATTTCAGCACGAATCATCACATTAGAGTGCAGATTTCGGCCAACCAATCATATTTAATTATAGGATTCAAGCAGCCAATCAAATGTGAGAAAAATATGATATGGCAAATGAGCAAAAACAAAAAATTTACATATGTCGTGATTTAAATTTTTTCTAATACTCTTCAAGAGTGCCTAAGCAATTTTTTGCACATAAAAGCAAAACAATATGGATAGCTACAGTAAACTATCAAAGGATTTGTAAAGAGATGTATTTTTTTGAAAATTCACAAATAGTAACAGGCAAAACGCCAACAAAAGCAAATTTAAAGAAGCGTCTGGTCAAACTCAGGGAAAACAAAAGTAAATTCGCCAATCGTATTTGCAAATTTTAAACGCACCAAACTCTTTCAAATCACTCTTAAAACCTACAGTATGTTTAAACTAACTTGTGTTGTCTCTTATTCTTTATAAATGTCTTCATTTCTTTGACGTTTTTGCAGTTTAATTAACAAAAGTTTTACAAAACTAAGTACGTTCATCTTGTTTGCTTATTGTTGGAAATCTACCTTCAGCATGCCATTATGCGTTCATTACTCGGTGCATGGACGTAATTTTTTATAATCATAAAGATTACGCTTTTGGCTATTGAGTGTTGAATGACATGTTCTTCAGCCTTAAAAAAGAACAATTGAGTAAGTACGAGTTAAACAAAAAATGTTTGTCGAAATCGCGTATTTACACTGCTGCACCCAATTAAAGCAGTGCATAACAAAAGGAAAAGGAATTAATCACGAATGAGTCATTTTAACAATGAGTTCAGAGCTGGTTCACAAGATGTCTATAATAATTATGCATACCCAAGTTTTTTATTTAAGTGAAATTCATCAACTTAATCACGTCAGAAATGCTTATCAGCGGTCGTTACTCAACTATTGTGTAATGTTCAATTTAATTAAACGCCCCGTGCAAGCCCCACGTCACGCACAGTTACCTACGTTATTCGTTAACTATCCTACTAACTAGCTACCTTTTGTAACGCCGTTAATACAGCAGTTTCACGAAATACACGACTATCTGAAGCATACATTTTGAGAGCAATAGTTGTCTTTAACATTTAGGAGCGGCCACTAATTCACAATCAGAAACGTCAAAAGGCTCCCGTTGCGTCTATTTATAAAATAATTAGTCGTTAAAAAGATATATTTATTCGATTCCGTCAAATAATTGCTTAATGAAAAATTGCTAGAATATAGTGATTGTCTTAAATTGAGAAATAAAATAAATTTACCTCCACTACAAGGTGTACATGTACTTACCTTTATGTGTTAGTTCGATGTGATTTGAACACGATCTCTTTTAATATCCCCAGTCATAAGACACAAAGTGTCTCAAAGTGCACAGCCACAGGTAAGGGTAAATCATTAAATTTCATTTCTCAATGAAAGACAATATTCTGGCAAATTATTTGACAAAAACGAATAAATATATATTTTAACGACTTATTTATTCTATAAATAACCTCAACCTGAGTCATGTTAACGTTTCTGTTTTTGAATTATAGTGACCGCCCCTAAATGTCAAAACCAACTATTGCTCTCAAACTTTTTGTTTGAGGTGCTCGCGTATCTAGCGAAACTGCTGTATCTCGTGTACGTAACTAAACTGATCACAGTTAATTAAGGATTTAACTACAGTTGTTAACGCTAATTTTAACTACCTGTACGTTTCTATACAACCGGACAATGCAGTGATCAAGTTGACCCGATGTACATTCAGGAAGGCTGCATTAAATGAAATTTTATTACAGGTAACTAAGACGATTACTGATGACGCAATGATACCGATAACAGACTGGCGGAACAAAATCGATGGTGGCAGACATTACATACGCAGTATTACATACGGCGGGTATTTGATTGCGTCTTTGAAGTATACCGCGAAGAAAGATGAAACAAAAGAAGACATACAAGCATCGGTTGAAGTAAACGTGAATACAAAGAAAGTGAATGTCGGTATTAAGGGACAGTTCCAGAGTCTTGCAGAATCTGCTAATAGCGTTGCTAACTTGAAGATCTCTTATACTTCATCTGAATTACCAGATGACACACCCGTTGATCTGGACTCGATCCTTAAAGCAATTTCGGACTTTCCAAACAAGGTTTGTTTATATGGGTTCTTCTTTCGCCGGATAAACTCCCAAACTTAAAAATAATTGATATAGAATGCGTACTTGTTCACAAATCATGTCTGCACTTTTTATCACCCATGCCTTCTCAAATCCGCCATATTGATTAGAAGTGAGAAATACAAAGTACCTGAAATACGTACATTTCCAGACATTAATTAAATTAACATGAACTATTATGGAACGTATTATATAGTACTGAACGCATGAGGTTTGCGTTGTGGCGTCATGTGTTGCAATGACAACACAACAATTTTAAATATTTATTTTGGAAAATATTTCTGTACAAAATGACTTACTTCTAACAATAAAACAATGAATTTCCAAAATGTATACTGCTGGTATGTTATTTTGTGTTCTTGTGCGCTTTGAGTTAAGGTAAAATTGCATCTGAAATGAATGTTTTGGAAAAGTTCACTCAACTCTGCAGACTTCAAGTATTAAAACTGCTTTTGGCGATTAAAATGCTTTTAACACTTAGGCTAATAAAACAAAATAATTTCAAATTATTGAATATTTAAAATAATTTTTCCCCAAATAAACAGTTAAAATGAAAAGGAAATCTATGTACGCTTTATGAACATTACCCCTATTACACGGTTATTTCCCACAGTATATCAATTAGTATCCTTCTTATTTCTTGAAGAAAAAATTGCTTGAAACCTCATTGTATGAAACGTTTTTCTAAGTAAATGTCTCATAAAATATTGCTTATCCCACTCAACATTTTTGTGAGAAGTGAGAAGGTCCCCCCCCCCCCCATACACCCATGACACGAAATTCAACAATTATTCCAACTGAGTTTAGCATGTTTATGGATACTATAGGTAAAGCAAAGTAAGAACGGAATTGGAGTTCCAATAGAGGTCGAAATCCGCGAATTGAAGTATCTTCAAGGGAACAACGAACTAGACTACGTTGTAAGCGGCCTCATTGCTGGGAAAGTTCGCAGATTTGAGGCGATGTTTGCAGACTTGGAGACGACTTATGACGCAATCGACAAGTTGGTCACAGATCCAAAACACGAAAAAATGGGTGATCAACTAGCAGCGATATACGGCGAATTTAAATCAAAGATAGACAGAATAAAACGTGAATTTTATAAAGCCGTCAATAACCTGGACCTTAACGTTGCGTCGGGAGACCTGGATCAGCTAACGAAAGCCTTTGAAGCCTATAAAGCCGGCGATAAGGGTTTCGTCCCTGGGAAATATTCCAGGCAGTTCAAACGACTGCAAAAAGAAGATCCTTTGCCACAGCCTTGGGTATGTCGTACGTACACAGTAATTTTAGAAGGGCCATTTTAGCACCATTTTGGCTTTTCAAAACCGGGGCCGTTTTTGCTCTAGGGGCCAAATTTTGGCCCTTCTTTTTCTAGCCGTTTTGGCCATGTACAGGGCCAAATTGGAATGTTAATGGTTAAAATAAGAATTGTGTCACTTTGCAATAAGTATTTTTGGCTCTAACCGGGGCCAAAACGGATCACAAGGGCTATTTTGGCACCTCGAGGGCCGTTTTGGCCCCTATTCTTAATGCTATTTTGGCCCTAAATTGAGGTGCTGTTTTGGCCCCCACATATTTAGGTGCTGTTTCGGCCCTATATTTAGTGCTGTTTTGGCCCATATTTAGGTGCTGTTTTGGCCCCATATTTAGGTGCTGTTTTGGCCTTATATTTAGTGCTGTTTTGGCCACATATTTAGGTGCTGCTTTGGTCCACATATTTAGGTGCTGTTTTGGCCCCATATTTAGTGCTGTTTTGGTCCCCATATTTAGGTGCTGTTTTGGTCCCATATTTAGCTGCTGTTTTGGTCTTCGTATTTAGGTGCTGTTTTGGTCCCATATTTAATGCTGTTTTGACCCTCATACTTATTGCTATTTTGGCCAAGTACAGGACCAATTTGGGATGTTATTCAAAATGACTAAAATTCATATAGCTAACTTTTCTTCAGGAGTATAGTAACACAGGGACTAGTTTCGGATATGGAGCTAGATTTATGGGACGTCTTGGTAGAAGTTCTTGTCCATGAAAATGATGTAGAGATTTGCGATGACATAAAATGCCATCACATGTTATGACATGCGATACGTTAATTAAACCATTATGCTAATTGACATATTATTTTTTAGGGAATCAATCTTCATTATTTGCTTATAAGAATTTTCACCAATTTTTTATGGTCATTACCGGTATTTGCCAGATTTATGCTTCAAGATTCGTAGGTTATGATTGCTAGCGAGAGCCGAAAGATAAAAGCGCTTTTTGGTGTATCTATTTTAAAGACAAGGACCACGCGCGCAATGCGTTGTGGTATGTCGTGTATCGAATGTCAGTTAGTATGGTCGTTGAAGATGAATTGAAGGGGCTACCCGGAAAAAATGGTATAAAGCTGGTTTTGGTGTCAAATGAAGCGCAATTCTTAGCAGAATAACATATGCAAAATCCGCAAAAATCGTGTTTGGGGAATTTAGAGGGGAGGGAAGAATTGAGTATAGTTGTTACGGTGGGCTAAATTTAACCCTCACTTGGAAAGTAAAGAGCCTAAAGCTAAACTAATATTACTGGAAAATAATTTTTGATATTTGTTGATCACAATTTAATTTGTTATTTGGCAAGATATTATTTCTACCGCGATTATCATGGGATATTAGAAAGCGTACGTAAGTCCAATATAATCCTTCTTGTGACCTTTTAGATTTAGTTTTAGTGACTGTGACTTTTTGTTGTATTATTCAACATTCAATGAAGCAATCAATCCAATCAATGAAGCTTTATTAAAAAATACATAAATAGGTAACATGGTGTCCTTTCACTAAAGTGCTCTTCCAAGGAGCCATGTAAAAATACAAAAACAAAAGAAATTAGCTAAATATATATACAATCCTATCATATTTACAACTATTTAATCTTAGTATTAAATTTGAAAGTTAGAAAGTTTATTTTTGAAAAGATATATTGAAGCCTGACTTCTTATTTCATCCGGAAGATCGTTCCATAACACAGCCCCACAGTGGCCGAAGCTCCTTTTACCAGCCTCCGTTCTGGGTCTAAGGGTGAACATACTGTGCGAACTACCTCTAAGATTGTGAGAGTGGACTTGCGAGGTAGGTTCAAAAATAGTATTAAGCTCGTTGGGATATAAATTATTCACTGCTTTATAAATACTTGTTGCGAGCTGTTTAGCACGACGTTGGTCAAGAGTTTCCCAACCAAGACTGTGTAGTATATCAGCTGATCTTACGTCATAATTGGAGAAGGTTATTATCCTACCGGCTCTGTTTTGCAGTTTTTGGAGTTTTTCAGAGAGGGTTTTACCTAGGCAGCCCCAAACCTCACTACAATAGTCTGAGTAAGGTAACACTAAGGCTTTATAAATCAGGATCAATGTGTTTTGGGGTACAAAAGTTCGAATCCGCTTTAACGCCCCAAGACTTGCACCTACCTTCTTACATTCTGTTCGTCGCGCCGTGTTTATATTGACCAATATCGAGTAACTACTGAAATTTATCGTTTTAGATTATGAAATAATTATTCAATATAGCCAGGCATAGACATGTTTAATATGTTAAGATTTATATTATTATCTTTATCGATTTCTATAGTGTAAATCGCATTACAGAAAGGTAAATAGGTATTTGCGGATAAAATTTCATTCAACTGAATTACTACTGTGTGCGTTTTCGTGTTGAGCCAATGATATATTATAGCCTACCGGGTGTCCCAAAAAAAAGTACTCCTGTTTGATTCGCAATAACTTATAAACAAGTAAAGCTTTTAAAGAGAAATAACTTGCATTAAATAGAGGAAGGACTAACTTAGATTTTGATATATTACAGTTGTATTTTACTTAAAAATTCATGGAGATATTAATGTTCAAAATCGGGAGCATATTTTGGGATGTGTCTAAAATTGGCGAAAATCGGCATATCAAATATTAACTCCAGCGTTTGTTTGCTTAATGACATATCAGGCTAACTTGTATTTCAGCGAATTATCGTTAGAGTTTGTAAGGGATATGGCGTAGATTTAGACATCTTACATGTAAGTCTTAACTCATTGTTTCCTGAAATATGAACGTTCGAAATTGTGCAAGTATTTAATATTAGGTCTTTACAAACTTAAAAGTACATGAAAGACTGACCATGGAAGGCAGGCGCTTAAATTTTTCTTAAATAGCCTAAATTTTTTATGTTTTTAATGGGTTCAAACAGACTGAGTTGGTTATTTCTCGGTTAGAGCAGGATGAATATTATTCCTTATTGAAGGAAATAATATTGCTTTTTGCAAATACACATCAGCGTAAATCACCGTATCAACGCTACTATTTTGTTACGTTTTGTTCCAAAAATGTTGCATGTCTCTGGGGAGTTGCTTAATTGTTATGTCTTATGGAGTTATATACAGGGTGTCTCAAAAAAAACCAAAATCATTGAAATAACGTATTGTTCGAATTTCAATGCCGTAACACAAAGGATTTTGACAAGGGTGATTAATTTGTTTTAAAAAATTAAAATATCTTTGTAAAGTGAACGTTTGTTTGCTCATGGGAATTTAAAAATGCTTCGTAAATTGTAATATGCGTAATATGCATTCGTGGGTTTAGTACTTTATGCCTGACATAACAAGTTTACGCTGAGTATTACCATTCATTATAGCAGTTATGTCAATCTTTTATGCACTCGTGGGATTAACTTAGTGCTAGGGCATTGAATATCGAACAATACGTCAATTTCAATGATTTTGGGTTTTTTTGAGACACCCTGTATATGGTTTGATTGTGTTTCATATAATTCTCAGTTTACTCTGGACTTGCCAAGATTAAGAAAAGGCAATAGAGTGTGGGTGTTCTTAACAAGATTTCAGAACGTTGCAGAAGTTAGAAGAGCTTCACAATTCCATTGTAGCAGCATGCCCTAATTCAGAACTATACGAACGATCCATGACGATCCTTCGCGATGCAGTGGTCTCATGAAATAAGGAAACGTATTCGTGCTAGGAAAACATGCGAATTTCGGACGAATAAATCTTGCTTGTATTTTGTAGATATAATAATACTTTGTTTCATATAATAAACAATTTGTCAAGTGTCATTTATTTACTGGTAATAGTGCATGTTTCAGTCGGGCAAATCTTGATTAATATTTGATACGCCGTTTTTTGCATATTTCAGACACATCCAGAAATATGCTCCCGAATTTAAAGATTAATATCCCTGTGAATTTTTAAGTGAAATACAACTGTAATATATCAAAACCTAAGTTAGTCCTTCCTCTATTTGATGCAAGTTATTTCTCTTTAAAAGCTTTACTTGTTTAGAAGTTATTACGAATCAAACAGGAGTACTTTTTTTTGGGACACCCGGTATAATATTAAAAATAAAATTTAAAAATATGCTACAACTAAAATACTTTAAATCTACTGATGGACAGAACTATAGAATACGATGATTACTTGTTAAACCATCCATCTCTCTATCTGTCGATGTGTGTAGGTCATGCATCGCTAAAGGACAACATAAGAAAATGTCCGATGTCCAGGAAGACTCTTGCATAATTTGTAAGCAAGGATTTGATGAGCAACAATTCGTAACTGTATCAAAAAGGGCATATTAACCCTCATCAGGTACAGCGAAAAACGTGGCCTGTCAGATCTCCAAAGCTATTTAACTAAACGTATTAGCATAACACCTATTGGCAAAGTGTTGGTTTATGCAAAGTACCGGAGAGACTTTACAGACCCAAAAAGATTGATTTCTAGAAATGTAGAAGTGCCTTGCGCAAAGAAATTGAGGTATAGTTCGCTTCCATTTAACTGGAAAGATGACTACGTATTTTGTGGTAAATCTGCAGCAATTGATAAACGCCATCCTGAGAGATCACCAGTATGCGCAGTGACAACCCTCCCATTCCGTTAAAAACTTCTAAAGTGCTGTGATGAGAGAGGGGCTTATGGGTAGCTGAAGTTCAGAATCGTTTACATGGATGTATTGATTTATTTGCGGCTGAGGCCGTCTATCATGTTAACTGTTACTCACGATTCTTGCTAATTAAAAATTACAACGCAGCATCAACACACAAAAAAGGTGAAGGGAGACCGGAAGATCAAGGAATGAGGCAATGGTTTGACATGCATGCTATGCCACTGGCTGGAATCTGAAGGCGATGCAGATTTGTACACGCTCGCAGAATTACATGCTAAGAAGACCGAATTTAGTAGTGAATCAGAGGTTTACACTATTAAAAGGCTTAAACAAAAGTGGTTAGAGTAGTATAAAGATTTCATATTCTTTGCAGAAATTGAAGGCCGAAATAACGTTGTCTACTTCAGCAACATGGTGAAGTACATCATAAATGAAAAATGGTACTCGGAAAAGAAAGAAGATAGCAACAGTGAAGCAGAACGAATAGTAACTGTGCAGCAAAGCTAATAAAAGCTGAAATCCGAGAAAGAAAATATGATTCCAAATCATATCCAACTAATGATGACATTGCAATTGTTAAACGAAGCAAGAACTGGATACCGCTTTACCTACAAACACTCTTGACACATATTGTTCCTTCAGAACTAAAACAGAACAGCATTGGACACTGCATTCTTCAGGCTGCCCGACCAAGGTCAGTTATAGCTCCCATCCTGTTTGGCTTAGGTGTTGAGATTGACCATGTATTTGGAATGAAGTGGCTAATAAATGAGTTGTCACGGTTGGGTTTCTGTATCAGTTACGATGAAGTGAACAGGTATAGGCAATCTATCATTCACAGTGAAGGCCTTAAAAACCTTCTTGCAGAGTACTTTCCGGGCACCTTTACCGAATGGGTGGCAGATAATGTTGACCATAATGTAGCCACACTAGATGGCCAGGGAACATTTCACGGAATGGGAATTATTGCTGTGTCGATCCTCTCCGAAAGATGACATCCCCCTCATCTCAAGATCGCGTGTGATCAGTAGACAACCGCGTTTAAATTTGGACGAGCTGGTAAAGGACAAAGGAGTACCAATTTTCCAGTACACTAGCTCACCAGACTACGGCTTGGCATCAATTATCTACAAACCAATTCTTCACTTGCAGGTTCTGCATACATTGCCACCTGAACTTTGCTTTGACTTGCTTTGGCACTATGGGTGTATTTTCAGCAAAGCAACGCGACCAAGATCAAATTGGTCGGGCTTTATGCAGTATGTGTTCTCAAATAACCGGCATACGATCGACTCCAAAGTCTGAAGTCCTTCTTCTACCAATCATTGATCTAAATCCTTCTGATGAATCCTGTATTTACTCAACTTTAGTTTATATTGAAGATCAAGCTGAGAAATTGGATATACCAACACCATGCATCACATTTGATCAACCTTTGTGGCTCAAAGCAACCGATATCATCAAAGCAAAATCAATGAAAATAGTTTTCAGACTTGGAGGCTGTCACACGATGATGAGCTTTATGGGTGGAATTGGCTCTATGATGAAATGCTCTTGGCTAAAGGAGGCATTAGAAACGGTGTACGGGCCTAATGCAGTTATCCATATAATGTCCGGGAAGGCTTTTTCGAGAGCGCTGCGTGGACACTTGTTGTTGGGTCTGCTGTAGTGAATAAGTTAATGATATCAGTTTTCCCATGCAAATTGAATGAGGACGATACATTTGAAGGTACTGAATTGGGTGAGATGTCGATGGACACATTGCTGACCAATGATGATCAATGCTCATCTAGTGTTATGGAAATTGAAACTGCAATTGCAACACCTGTTAGAGAGGTGGAAACAGGTATTAATCCAGATTGCGGAACTGAAATTACGAAGAATCTTCAGGACTCGTTGATCGAGGCCAAGATGGAAATACCTGCTGCAGAAACGGATTTAGATAAGGATGAGAACAAACTGAATGCTGCAGAAGTGAAGCATATTAATCACTTGTATGAAGGAATCAAATATCAATCTATAGCCGTTGTAAGTGTTTCTGAATCCAAGGAACTGAAAAAATTGGATCATTGCTTACAAAAGTATAAAGAATTGCTTGCCGAGAGGTCACCTACAACAACGTTGTGGTTGCAATACATTGAATACGTGGAAACTTTGAAGGTGTTCATTCGTGCTGAAAGAACAGGAGATTGGAACCTCTATATAGTCGCAATTACGAAAATGTTGTATCTATTTGCCGCAACTGTATCTAGCTTTAAATACTTGGGAGTAATGCTGTCTACAAATTTTACCTGGACTGATCACATTGAATATATCTCGTCTAAGATAAACAAGAACCTGGGTCTCTTACGCAGAATTAAGCATTTGTTGCCCCACCAAGCTCGCCTGCTTTTCTACAATAGTTTAGTCTTACCAATTTTTGACTATGTTGACTTGGTCTGGGGGGACAAGGACAATCTTGTTTTGATGGGTGAGCTCCAAGTACTACAGAACAAGACTGCGAAGATAATATTAGATAGACCTTTGTACTCATCGGCAACTGACGCGCTGTCAGCCCTGAAATGGCTCGATTTACGTCGACGCAGGAATTTCCATCGCTGCATTCATATCTGGAAGTGTGTTAATGGTCTTACGGAGCACTCTCTAGACATTCTTAAATGTAGTCAGATTCACAGTCATAACACTCGAAATAAGGACACAATAAGGCTACCTAAAGTCAAACGCAATTGGGGGAAACAACGCATTAACTATCAAGCAATGAAAGACTGGAATGATTTAGACAGTGATACAAGAAATGCTCCAACACTAGTGTCCTTTAAGAGAAATCTTTTTTCTAAACTTTTAACCTAGAGCCTGCTTAGAACATCGTGACTTACAGTTTTAGACTTTTGACTTTTAACTAGTTTTAGATTTTTATAATTGCATGATTATTTGTATATATAATGTTCCCTATGTGTAGGACCTTTGTGAAAATCACGTCATATGTGACAACGCTTTCCTCATTAAAGATTATTATATAAAGAGTGCACGACTGTATTTGCAGCTGATGCTGGAATTACGAGCAGGCTACCCATGGATATAACATTGCTTCCACGAACAAGGATTCCATACAGTCCGCAGAAGCGATTGCTTCACTAAAATGCCATCACTAAAATGTCTGGCAACAGGTTGGTTAGCATCATTGCGAATAACTGCACGCCGATGCTCACCAAACCTTGTCCTTAAACATCTTCCAGTTTTCCCAATGTAAAGCATGCCACATCTGCTGCAAGAGATGCAGTAGATAAGATGGGAAGAGGCGCACGTGAAATGGTGCTTGATGTAAAAATCAGATTTAGGTGCCGAAACAATAGTGGTGGAATCTATAAAATCACAGGTTTTACATTTCGATGATAGGCAAGGAAAAGTGCCTTTCTGTGACGTCGAATCCTGTGTTAGGGAGCTATGGATAAGAGTTTCACGGATATTTTTGCTGTGTCGAAAAGAGACTAAGGGGTTACTGGAGAAAATGGAAGATGTTTCAGGGTCGTTTTTCAAAATATGGAAATTCTTGTTGATGACATCTCTAACTTTGAAATTGAAAGGATAATAGTTTAATACTAGGGGGATTTTGTTGTTGCCTGTGACATTAGACACAGGGTCTGTGAGGGTGTCAGAACGGGGAATTTGGGAGACCTTCGAAAAGGCAGTGTCTAATAGAAAGGTAGGATAACCACGCTGGACAAAAAAGTGTCTCATCTCCAGACTTTTGGCCTGAAAATCTTCGTCTTCACTGCAGATGCGGCGAAGACGAAGGAACTGAGAAAAGGGAATCGACCTTTTGGTGTGGTTGGGGTGGGAAGAGGAAAATAGAAGATAGCTATGGGAGTCAGTGAGCTTGTAGAACACAGAAGTAGATCATTTGTTACCATTGATTGATACAAGGATATCTAAGAATGATACACTGGTCTCACTGATCTCCCATGTGAACTGGAGTGCTGGATGAAAATTATTAATAAAGTTAATAAAGCGTTCTAATTCGACACGAGAACATGATGCTGTGCCAAGACAGTCATCTATGTACCAACCAAGGTAATCAGGGATGGGATCAGTGTACTGTTCGAAGATTTGTTTTTCCACAAAACCAACAAACAAATTAGCATAGTTGGGTCCCATTTTAGTCCCCTGTTGGTAGTGCTCACCATCAAACGAAAAATTGTTGAGGGTAAGCACCAACTCAGCCAATCGGATCAAAACAGAAGTGGCCGGTTCCTGGTTAGGGCGTTTATCTGGAAAGAATTTGAGGTCCCTCAAACCATCATGATGCGGAATTACAGTGTATAAGGATTTGACGTCCATCATGGTGAAAATGAATTTGTGAGTGCCATGAAAATTAATGTTCTGGAGAATTGGAAGAGCATGCTTGGTATCCTTGATATAGGATGGTAAGTCCTTAACCAAGGGTGCCATGACACGATCGAGAAAACTGGAGATGAGTTCGGTGGGACAACCACAAGCAGATACAATAGGTCTACCTGGGTTGTCAGGTTTGTGAATTTTAGATAGATAGATAGATAGATAGATACTTTATTGCGTGTTCCCCTAAGGGCTTTTCAACACTACATTACATATTAAAATTACTATAAATTACTTCTAAAACTACCTATGTTACATATACTTATTTAAAATTAGTTAAAATATGTACAAAGAGTATGAAATATTAAATGTATTTAATAGGATTCTTTTAGTAAAATCTCCCTAAGTTTTTTCTTAAAAATTGTTATTGATGTAATATTTTTTAGTTTATCATCCAAGTCATTCCATATTTTAACACCCCGGTAATTAAATGTTCTTTGACCTGTAGCAGATTTATACAGAGGGATGTCCAAGAGGTCATGATTTCTTGTCGATCGATCATGTATGTCGGAACGCTTTATAAATTTATCTACTAGGTAGTCAGGTGCAAGTCCATTAAAACACTTGTAAGCCATTACAGTATCCCTTTCCAATAATAACTTTTCCACTGGCAACCAATTTAGTTCGCGCAAGGCCGGAGTTATGTGATCGAACTTTCCTACCCCTGATATAACTCTGCACGCGAAGTTCTGCACTGATTGAAGTTTATTGATATTGTTAGATGACGTGTTGCACCACACCGTAGAGCAGTACAGAAGCTTGTTAATTACAAGTGTCTCAATGACCAATTTTAATGTTTCATTATCGAAACTATCCTTCACGCGATTTATTTGACATAGTTTTCTCATACACGACGAAACGAGTTTAGATATGTGGTCGTCGTAGGATAGGTACGAATCCAAACTGATTCCCAAATCTTTAGCTAATAAAACAGGTCTTATAGTCTTTCCTAAAATGTTAGCGATATTTCTGTAGGTACGTTCTGCAGCATGGGTCTTGAACCGACTACAAGGAATTTAGTTTTTTCTGGATTGATCAGTAATTGGTGCTCCAAACACCACTTGGCTGCTATTTGTAGATCTGCCTCTAAATTGATAGTTGTCTGTTCCAAGTCGTAGATGCAGAATGATTTGTAAAGCTTTGAGTCGTCTACGTATGAATCAAGGTTACACGATTGTATGCTCCCTGGCAGATCATTAATATAGATGCAAAACAGAAGTGGTGATAGTATTGCACCTTGTGGAACGCCATGGGTTATTGGGCGAGCTGATGACTTGGTGGATCCAATGCGCACGTATTGGGATCTGCCTGTTAAATAGTCTTGGAACCATTTAACAGCTTCGGGTGAAGCACCGATACAACTCAATTTGTGTAATAAAATCGAATGACTGACACTGTCAAATGCCTTGGATAAATCCAATAAAATTAGTGCCGTTAGATTTTTGTTGTCTATGGCTTCCAACATCGTATCGGTAACAAATATGTTTAAGGTTTCGGTGGAGTGAAGACTCCTATTCCCGCTTTGATGTGACGATATGCGATTAAATTCTTTGAGGTAGGAGCTAAATTGATTTAGAACAACTTTTTCACAAACTTTTGAAACTACCTCGAGTAGTGAGAGAGGCCGATTGTTTGAGGCTATCTCGTGGTCTCCTTCTTTTAGTAGGGGTATAACTTCAGAAATCTTCCATAGGTCAGGGAATGTGCTTGTCATTAGAGAGCAATTTATCATATGCGTAAGAGGACCCAGTATGATTGGAAGACAGTCTTTGATGACACGCATGCCTATTTTATCTGGTCCTAGTGACTTATTAATTGGCATAGCCATGATAATGCGTTGAACCTCTGTACAAGTAACGGATTGTAAATTGAACAGTTGATCAGATGGATAAGTGATTACATTTGACAGAGGATTTGACAGTGCAACATTGTTGTCTTTGGCTAAAATTTCGGCTGTCGCAGCAGCGTTCCGTCCCACAGAAGTAAAAAAAAGGTTGAAGTCTTCTGCAACTGTTTTTGGATCTTTGCTATAAACTTGTGTTTCCTTTTCCTTCGAAGGAATTATATTATTAATTATTTTCCATAGGGATCTCGAATTGTGTTTATGTTCTCTTACTTCGTTGAAGGTGTGGTCCTTCGCTGCGGCTTTAATTTCGGTTTTTACGTTATTACGATATTCTTTGTAAACTACCCAATCACCTTCCTCATGACGTGTCAGTTGAAACCGACGGAGGTGTAGGTCCCGAGACTTCATGAGTTCTTTTATTTCATTGGTGACATATGGACATGATCGATTTCGAATTTTGAAGGTTTTTAACGGTGCATGCACGTCGAGAGTTGAGTGAAGAACATCTTTGAAGGTTTCGAGTATTGTATTAACGTTGGTGTTGGATAATATGGATAACAGACGATCCGATTTAGTGACAAGGTCAGAGGAAAAAAGTGAGGGATTATAGTTTTTATAACTCCTAGTTGTAATGTAACATGCTGGCATCTTTGGGGCCTTTAACTTTAGTAGGACGTACACTGGTAAGTGGTCACTGATAGAAGTGTTAATAACACCATTCTCAAGAACAAGTGCTGTGGATGAGACTAGAATAACATCAATAAGCGTTTGGGACGTCGCCGTGATTCTAGTTGGAGTTTTAATAATCTGTGTGAGATTTAATTCTGTAGAAAAATTTGTTAGCGCTCTCCGCTCTTGGCCGTTTTCTAGCATGTTACAATTTAAGTCACCGAGCACTAAAATCTGTTTATTCAAAGTTAAAGCCTGAACATAATTTGGCTTAAGTAAATCTTCGAAACAATTTAGAGAAGTGTCAGGTGGTCGGTAGGTTACACAAATTATTATTGATTTGTTTTTTTGGCATTGTAGATTTATCCATAGTTGATGAAAGTTAGAGACTGACACCTTCGATAAATCTTTTAAGACAGTTGCTTTAATATTCTTCTTGATATAAGCACAGACACCTCCACCTTTCTTGTGTAACCGGTCAAGTCTGTGGATCTTATAATCGTCGATTGCAATCTCACGGTTCGTTACTGAGGAATTTAACCACGATTCGGAAATGGTGAGGACATCGATATTATTTAACTTTACTAGTTCCTTGACCTCAGTAAGGTGAACGATATTTCTTAACGAGCGAATGTTTAAGTGAACAATGTTGAGACTAGAGGGAACTGATATCTGATCGCTTGGGGTTAATGGGGTACTACACGTATTTCTGCTAGTGTGGTTCTCACTAGCCTGTAGTGGGATTAAATTATTATACGCATGGACTGTTTTTCTGTTTTTCAAATTGGTAACAAAGAGAGATGGAACAGCGCAGTAGTCTCCGTGATTTTCCAGGTTACTAGTAGTTACAGGGACATTTACCAGGTTGCATGGTTTACTAGTTCGTTTACGTATATTATTGTAACTTGCAATGCGATGACTTATGGTCCGACATTGTGACATAACAATAGGAATTACTTTGTTGTTCGTAGGCGAATTGGAGGCCGAGTCACACGAGGATGTAACGTTTTCCGAACAAATTCGAGGTACCTCTGCCAGTCCCGGGGACGGTGGTTTGAACGACTCTTCCGAAAATTTCTCTTACACGATCGCTGGAAATCGTTAAAAGTCGTAGATTTTCTTAACGATGCAGACTTATATGAAGATTCAATCAAAGGTAGTCGTCCCACCCACTCCGCATGTCTGACAGGTACCCCTGGGTTGCAATTTATTTCACTTTTATCGATTAGCCCAGATATATTGTTGTCGTAATGTATCTCTTTCGATAAACGTTTTGTACACTTGATTGACTTGTGACCTTTGACCTTATTTGCGGTGTTTTGTTTTGGCGTTTGTCCGAAAACTAATTCACTGCTTTTTGCCCTGACCTGTTCGGAGGGACCCGATTTTTCTGATTGCGTTTTTAAAGTTGAATTAACTGTTTTCGCTGGCATGGAATGGGACCGATTTGATTACTGTAGTCCCATTTGGGACGAATTTGGCGCAACATTATGTGAAAAAATGCAAAAATTGCAGAATAGAGCTGCTAGAGTGATTACGAAATCCGACTACGATGTCAGCTCTAGCATTCTCTTAGAGAAACTGCATTGGGACAATCTTTCCTTACGTAGGAAAAAGCACAAGTCTATACTAATGTTTAAAACTATCAATAAGCTAACGCCAGAGTATTTACAAAACATGTTTACATTTCGCAGCACAGATTATAACTTAAGAAATGCAGAAATGAAGCTAAATTTACCAAAACCACGTACGGACTTTATGAAGCGTAGTTTCTGCTACAGTGGAGCAAGTTTATGGAATGCGCTTCCTCAAACTGCACGTACGTCCAAATCATTGAGGCATTTCAAAAATGAAATTAATCAATTCTTGACATTATAATGGGATCCCCACACGGCAATCTTGGAAAACAGTGCATTTTAGTTAGGAAATTAGTGTGTATATAGCGATGTGTGAAATTTATTAATAGTTTTTGTATTTTATTCTACACTGAAGATTTTACCGTGTTTAAATAAATGTTCAATGTTCAATGTTCAATGTTCAATGTTCAATGTTCAATGTTTCGGGAGCAAGAGATTCGCCATTCGCCAGATTAGTAATAGTATTAATTTCACACCCTGATTCCGCTGCTTCATTACAGTGGGTTGATTTTAATATAACACTTCGTTGGTCTTCTGTTGGGGTTTTAAGTAATGAACAGTTTTCCTGCAGGGTTTTGTTTAAACTATTATCTGGATCAATACTAATTACATCTTCACACAGTTCGATGATCTCTGTTAAAGGTCGATCGCTATTACCAACGGGCAATGGACATTGTAGTCATATTGTTTGTCTTGATTGGGTATTGTTTCCATAGCCGAGGAGGTTGTGTCATGTACAATAATTACATGACTGGAGGCAGTGGCGAGCTGGATACTATTTTTCTGGGGGGGCCAGTGGGCTATCAACCAATATGCGCCCCTATAATGTGACGCTTGATAAACGAGGGCCGAAGGCACAAGCCGTGCGCCGCAGGTGCGAGGTCTTCCTAGGGGGGTCCGGGGGCATGCTCCCCTGGAAAATTTTTAAATTTAGAGTCTCTGAAATGCCATTTCCTGGACTTTGGGGGGAAGATTTGACGGAAATCTGATGGTCAGGAAACGAGATTATAACGAGTCGAAATTTGCAATTTGGTTAGAATTTCCGTAGAGGAACTTAAATTGGTACGGTATCAGTTTTACTATAAATCTTTATTTTAGATTAATTGTGGAGGAATAAAGTCACTCGTTGAGTATATTTGTATAAAATATTTTGATTTATAATAAACGCCGATCTCACTAATAACTTGTAATGTTTTACTAAAACGGTGTACTTGCACTTTATTCATACGAAGCTGTCATGTTTTTTGTCAAAACATACAAAAAGAGTTTTAAAATGCTATACAGTATATCACTTGATAGTTAGTACTATTTTTCACGTGTTGTATCGAATGTTGATAACGTCAAGTATTGCCCATATCGATCGATCGATGTTCTGCAATGTCTTTAATGTTTCAATAACCATTGTCGATTTCTATAGCATTTCTAAACATTTTCATATAAGCGCCTTCGACAATTCTGATGTCAGATCTCCAAGGCGGTAATAATCTGCTCCTTTTTCAAAGACATTAAAATCTTCCGTTCAGTGCCGGTCATAAGTAGCAATGCTTCAAGTTTTTCTTGAGACAAAGACGAACGTGTGCGGATTTGATTGGAATTGCAACTGCGATCGCGTAAACTTTACAAAGAGTTGGAAATACATCAACTAAGTGGTAATCAGGATTCGACAAAATTCTCAGAGCTTCTAGAAATGATTGTTTATCCTTGTCCTTTGGTTCTTCAGCAGTTCCGTCGTCGCTTGACTCGCTGTCGGTTTCTTCTTCGTAGTCTTCGGTTTCAGATTCAGAACCGGAGTCTAGATCAGAATCTTTCTCTTCTTCTTTCGGTCTTCATGAAAAATCACTGAACACTTCGATTTTTGAAAAGATTCTGCAAAGTTAAGCAGTTCATCTGCACATCGGTGCGAGTCAATGTCAGTGGTACACCATGCCGTTTAAGGTTTCCTTGCCTGGCTGCCAAAAGGGCGCGCGTTTCAGCATTATCTTACTACTTACATTACTCGATGAGTTACGATGTTTCTTGTTCAAACAACTAAATTGCGTACACAACTTTACATTATCATAACTATCTAATTTGCGCCGCTCTCGTGATTCGTGAAGCAATATAAAGGCATAATATAAGGGCATAATACAAGCAAAAAAAGGGCATAATTCCCGTGATCGCTTCGAAACTTGGCCAATATTCCGGTAATGCGACATTGCGTGTGATCACTGATCATGTTTCTATATGAACGATTTCGTGTGAGGTAGCAATACTGGCTGGTTAGACAAAATAGTCTGTAATTTAATATATCACTTTGTCGCCTATGCGCTCAGTCTGTTTATAAGCCTATAACACATTTTTTCTTGGTGGAAGTAACTATATCTTTTCAAATGCGCTTTTTCCCACCCACTTTCAAAATTCGGCGCAGGATCGGCGCCCCCTTTTCATTTTTGCGCCCCCCAAAAATTGCCAGCTGGGGGCCCGTGGCCCCCCGGCCCCCCTTGCCAGCACGCCACTGACCGGAGGTGCTGTTAACGTTTACATTTTTTATTTCCTTGCTTTGTATTATTTCTGACGAGTTCTTGCTTGAGTGATTCAAAACATGTTCATTATGCATAACGGCTAATCCTTCTCTTATTTGTTCAATACTTGTGTATTGTTCACTAATTTGTTGATTGTGTTTTCCTTGCTCACTTTGAATAGTTTCTAAATGATGAATTAATTGATTAATTGCTAAGTCATGTTTAGAAATTTTTCGAAAATGATCTTGTTGTTCGCACTGCATAATAGCCAGTTCATGAGAGAATTTATCAATCAATTTCATGTTTTTGTTAATATTTCCGCGGTTTGAATGGACGTTTTTAGAAAGTTTAGACTCCGTAATAACAGCATCCAACTTAACTCCTTCGATCGATAGACAGTTCACAAACAGTTCGCAAATTACTGTTTGCATCTTTAGCAGAACTAAAATCTGTATTTATGTTGATTTGTTGTACCTTGATTTAAATATGCTCTGGTTTTCCATTGAGCACTTTGCCAAAAGTTTTTATATGAATAGGTTTTGATTGTCATGCCTGGATTATTTCTGTCGGTTGGTTTATTTTAAACAAAAAAAGGGACTTCTTCAGGCAAATTGTGAGATTATTTATTAAATTCCTCAGACGTTTCGCCGGTTAAGGCTTCATCAGTGAGTACAATAATCTAAATAATAAAATCGTCCTCTATATAAACATGCATTTATCGCTTGGTTGAGAATGTAAAAGCTAAAGAATGTTGTTAAAAATGTTAATTTGAGTTCTAAATTAAAAATTTTAAAATTAAGTTAAAAGAGTGATTGTTATTATATTGTTGATTGTACTATAGGATATATTAGAAGCTTGATTGTTCCATTTCGTCAAACTAGATATTGATATTACGTCCAGCACAACCATTCATAATTCCGAATCTCAAGTGCTTCGATCACTTCACGCTCATACCGGTAATTTATACTTGAATGGAGGATTTTCCAACTTATTGTCGACTCGCTTTGTGGGTCAATATTGTGAGTTCTAAGGTGTACATGAACTGTTTGTTCGTATTGTTCTTCCTGTTTCTCCCACATAGACCAGATGACAATGTAAACAATTAATAAGGTAGATCGCATTCTTAACCTTGCATAGATTAGTTTTAATTGCTAGTTTACAAGTATCACAGTTATCGGGGCAACTTAGCTTCTATTTACGTGGAGCAAATATTTTTGATAGGGATGGTCCATTTACAAACTGTAATCTAATGTTTTCAAGTCCAAATCGTAGGACTACAGATTTTCATTAATAAAGGGCAGCTTGAGATATGCATACTTCTCGATGTTTTCTCGTTGTGGTTGGGTGTGTAATGTTTGTTGCATGACTGAGTTAATAAATTTCTTTGGGTATCCGTTACTTGCAAAGATCGATTTTATTTTACCTAGCGACTTATTTCTTGATAGTGAATCCGTTGATCGGGAGATGGCTCTCCTTGTTTCTCCTATAAGTATGGATCTTTTCGAAGCTATAGAGCCGTGGCTATCCCATGAAGTGATACATTGGCTATGAATAGGTTTCACATATAATGTATAGTTTTAAATTCATTAGTCATAGGATTGAAAGATACTAAGGTGTCAAGGTATGGTAGATTATTTTGCGTAGGTAGCTCGATTGTAAATTTAATGGCATCGTTCAAGTTGTTGGCCATGGACAATAAGCTATCACTGGTAATTAAATTTAATGTCCATGCAATAAATATATCATCGATTAATTGTCGTAAGTAAAGAGAACCATTAAAGGATTCTATTATTTGTTTATCCAACTCGTTGATATAGATAATAGCCAACATCGGAGCAAGATTGTTCCCCATCGCTAATCCCGATTTTTGTTTATAACCTTTGCCATTAATTAAAACAGTATCACTAGTCAGACATAGACACTAGTCACCGGTATGAGCGTGAAGTGATCGAAGCACTTGAGATTCGGAATTATTCGGACAGAATTATGAATGGTTGTGATGGACGTAATATCAATATCTAGTTTGACTAATTGGAACAATCAGGCTTCTAATATATCCTATGGTACAATCAACAATATAATAACAATCACTCTTTTAACTTAATTTTAAAATTTTTAACTTAGAACTCAAATGAACATTTTTAATAACATTCTTTAGCTTTTACATTTTCAATCAAGCGATAAATGCATGTATATATAGAGGACGATTTTATTATTCAGATTATTGTACTCACTGATGAAGCCTTAACCGGCGAAACGTCTGAGGAATTTAATAAATAATCTCACAATTTGCCTGAAGAAGTCCCTTTTTTTGGTTTAAAATAAACCAACCGACAGAAATAATCCAGGCATGACAATCAAAACCTATTCATATATATATATATATATATATATATATATATATATATATATATATATATATATATATATATATATATATATATATATATATATATTTATATATATATATATAATTTGTTATCTTAAAATGTTTCAATTTCTCGCTACTTTAAGTTTCATGCCACTATTTGTGGCAATCTTCAGGCGATTAATTTCTGAAGATTGCCACAAATAGTGGCATGAAACTTAAAGTAGCGAGAAATTGAAACATTTTAAAATCACAAATTAATTCGCTCTGCTAAATAATTTGTAGTATTGAGCACTCTTTTATCTATAACGGAAAAAAAACCTGTTTATATATATATATATATATATATATATATATATATATATATATATATATATATATATATATATATATATATATATATATATATATATATAGATATATATAGATAGATAAAGATAAAATAAACCTGGTTTACTTCATAAGATTTATTCACTACAAACTTGTTTCGTATGACAAGCAATGCTTGCCACACTCATGATGAGTGTGGCAAGCATTGCTTG